TGCTGAGTTCTGCCATCATGGCGGCACAACTCAGCAAGTGAGCTCAGAAGGGATTTAAACTTTAAATGCTCTCTGACTCCACTCGCAGAGTCGCGCTGCTGCAGCGGCACAACTCAGTGAGTGAACTTAGCAAGCATTTAAAGTTTAAATCCGTTCTCCATTATACCTTGTGGGGTATAATGAAGCCGAATACATTTGGCAATCCCTATTATTTCCTGAATCCCAATATCATATCAATATTAGGATTTGGGAATATTAGGAAATACCAGTATTTCTCAGGTTCAGTACACACGAACCTGAAAAATACTGATTTTTTGCACAACCCTAGAATTTACCATAGAAACCTTACCCTTATCCAGTAACCATTTGTTGCATAACTGTTACATACACCTGCCTTAAGGCCTTTTAAGAAATGTAGATTGCCAATACTATTAATATATAAATAAATGTGCAGCTATGTTCCCTGCCAGAACCAGTCATTCACTTTGATGGAAGGACATTTCTGGGCATACATCCCTTTATAGTTTGTGGATTTATCTAAATTAGATACTGTATTAACTTACAAGCAGCAACCTGCAAGTATTTGCAATAAGCATCTCATTTCCCCCTCCTCCACTATGTCCTCATTCCCTGTCCTGAAAGCCTCCATAGCCTCTCCCCTTTTTCTGCTTCAGTCTCTCCTTCTAGGATTGCCAACCTCCAGGTGGGTTCTGGTAAACCTCTGGAATCACAGCAGATCTCCCAACTGCAGAGATCAGCTGGAAATCAGTTGTAATGCAAAGTGATATCCAGTCTTTCCCCCCCTTCCCCGGAGGATGGCAGCCCTAGTTCCCCTGGAGGAAATGGCTGCTTTGGAGGGTGCAGTATACCTTCTGAGGTATAATCCCCTCCTCAACCCTTCCCAGGCTAAATCCCCAAATCTCCATGAATTTCCTAATCTGGATGTGGCAACTTTATCACATTCCCATCCAACAGCCAATCTACCTTTATCTATGTCTTAAGCTTTCCTCTCACCCTCTCCCCTGGCAGTCTCTTTCTTCTTTCCCTCCCCCAGCAACCCCCAATATCCTCTCCCCTGTTCCTGTCTCATTCTCTCCTTTCCAGCCATTCACAACCCTTCCTTTTATCTGCCTCTCATCTTCACTTTTATTTATTATCAGTTTACTTCATTTATACCCCACCTTTTTGGCTAAACATTAGGAGGAACTTCCTGACAGCTAGAGCAGTTCCTCAGTGGTACAGGCCTCCTTGGGAGGTGGTGGGCTCTCCTTTGGAGATTTTCAAACAGAGGCTAGATTAGGGTTGCCAAGTCGCAGTGGGGGATCGTGTGTCTTTGCAGAATCCGTGCCACGGGGATGGCGAGACGTGTTGCACCCGGCGTCACCAGGAAATGACGCTACGCGTCGCTCTGGCAACGGGGCTCCAAACAGCCCCATTGCCAGAGCGACGCATAGTGTCATGTCCTGGCGACGGCAGTGCAACGCGTCTCGCCGTCCCCGCAGCACGGAGTATGCAAAGACATACGGATCCCCCGCCACGATTTGGTGAGATTTGGGAGCCCTAGGCTAGATGGCCATCTGACTGCAATGCTGATTCTGTGAACTTAGGCAAATCATGAGAGGGAGGGCAAGAAGGGTTGCATCAGTGCTTAGTTCTTGTAGTCCTTTCATACATGCCCAGGGAAATGCTGATTGCCCCTTTGGGGTCAGGAAGCTATTTTTCTCTAGGCCAGTTTGGCCAGGGATATTAGAGGTTTTTTGTCATCTTCTGGGCATGCAACAGGAGTCACTGGAAGTATGGGGATTGGCATTTGTGCAGGAGGTTGAACTGGATGACCCTGGAGATCCCTTCCAACTCTATGATTCTATTATTCTCCACAGTGGGGGGTAAAGCAGCTTACATTATTCTTCTCTTATCCTTTTATCCGCACAACTCTGTGAGGTAGGTCAGGCTGAAAGTATGTGACTGGTCCAGTGAGCTTCCACAGCAAGATGGGGATTTGAACATGGGTCTCCCAGAACCTGCTCTGACGCTCTAACTGCTATACCACACTGGTTTTCATAGGATGGCTGTTGTTGAACAACAGCAAGCAGCTAGGCCTAGTTGAGTCATGCAAGTCACTAAAGGCTGCTGCCAGGCCTAGGTTTGCCAACCTCCAGGTGGGAACTAGAGATCTTCTAGAATTAGAACTAAACTCTGAACAACACAGATCTGTCCCTCTGGAGAAAATGGCTGTTCTGGAGGTTGGACTCTGTTGCATTATATTCAGCTGAAGCCTCTCCCCAAACCCTGCCCTCCTCAGACTCCATCACAAAATTTCCAGGAATTTCTCAAGCTGGAGCTGGCAAACCTAGTTGGACCTGGCCCCAATGAGTCCTCCCTAAAAGGGCAAAATAGGCCTGGAAAGGACCCTGCCTTTTCCCTCACATAAACCCAACCTGGGATACTGTGGTTGCCTAGCAATAGCTACTGAGGGAATCTGTTGCTTAAAGTCACAGGAGCTCTTCTTAGCATTTTGGCACCTTTTAACACCCCCCTCATGTATTCTTTACACTACCCCCCCCCCCTATATTTTTCTGTAAACCTGGGGCCCTTTTCCAGTTTGTAGAAAGATCTGTCTTGCCCATTAACAGCTCCAGTCATCAGATTTAAGTATTCAATGATTTGGCCAACTTGGCTATTAGTATATAGATGTATCCATCTAAAATGAATTTGAAAGAAAATATTATTTTAAACATATTAGCTTATTGCTGAACTCTGCTTTGTAAAACACACACACAAAATGAAATACACAGATGTGATAATAACCACAAAGCATTTTCAACTGTGGTAAAATTTAATTTTATAATGAACAAGAAGACTGAAACAAGCTTCCCTTTTCTAACCAATATTTCAGATAGATTTTAGTTTGTTTAATAACATGTTTTATTCAGTGTGCAAAATCAGAACAGAAAGGCTCTTTTGAATTGTCTTCCACAAATATATGCATCTTGGGCTTAAGTAATACACAGGGAGGAGATCTCTGGACATATTAAAAACGTTTCCAGGCAGTATCCTTTGATTGACTTAATGATACATGCCTATTACCCAGTCTGGCTTTGTAATGGATTGTAAATGTCTACTGACATCCAGAGATAAGAAACAACTGTTCTAAGCATTTGAGTTTTTGCCAGAAATGAGATGATGGTTCTTTAAGCAAAGTCATAAAAGCTACCATCAGAGGTCATTTCGGGGGGGGGGGAACGCGGGGGAACGCAGTTCCCCCAGGTGAGGTACGGGAGGGCGGGGCACATGACGAAGCCCCGCCCCCTGCTTCCGGCCGCCCTGCTTCCAGCCCTCATTCAGCCAGGAGGAGGCAGGAGAAGAGGGAGGGTAAGTTGCTCCCTCCCCGCCTCTCCCCACCCCTGCCTGCCTGGGGCCAGGGAGGGCCTTCGCGGGGCTTCTTTGCCCTCCCGCCGGCCTTGCAGGTCCACCGCCGGGCCCCTCATGTGGCTCGGCAGTGGAGCTGCAAGGCCAGCACCGGCGGCCGGGACCATTGGGGGCAGGGTATGTGGCCTTATGACACACTTCTGGTGATGTCAGGGTGTGTGGCATATGCTATTGAGTTATGCTAATGAGTTCCCCTAGCTCTTTTTCTACGAAATGACCCCTGGCTACCATACATCGTCAATTCAATTTTAGGCAAGACTGACATCATCAAACAGAGAAAAAAAGGCATGTTGGACAGCCTCAGCATAATCTATTGAAGGAACACTAAATCCAATTACATAGAACATCATAAATTGTTTGTTATTTTCAAAGCGTTTAGTTCAGTGACAATGTCTGTTTCCTTCATTAAAAACCTATTAAAACTATTTAGGTGTGTAAGATTCTTGAAATGTTATTGTCCATTGTGAAAAAATAATGCAACTTAAAGTAATACTACAGAAACCAATTTTCCCCCTCCCTCAACCTAGATTTAAAACATTCAGTGAAACAAGCAACAGATAAAATGCCTGTAGACTGCAACTTGTCTGTAAGTTATGGTTTCAGTTTTTCTGGAAAGTATGAATAATGTGTAGGCAAATACACCATCTTCTGTATTAAATAGAAAGTAAGACTTATATTCATTGAAACCTTTGCAACAGTACATGGAATAATATTGTAAGAATCGCATGAAGCCACATTAGTCTGCCCAAAGCAGTCCCTTTTTAAATAGGTAAAATCACCTCCACATTACTGTGCCTATGTAATGTGCTAGACAATGCCGCCTTAGGATGCTTCCTACCACTGTTCTCCAGAAAGTCTTCAGCTGTGCTTGAATAAGATCATTGTTTTACTCTAAAATATAGAACTATGGCATCTTGTGAAGATTTTTTTTTTTTTTTAAAAAACACACCTAAAATTCAACAGGCTGAAACACCACAAGATACAACTGTTTATAAAAGAGTGTTTTAATTTTATTTAAACCATAATACCTTTAATTTCCAGCATTTGAAATTATGTTCAAACCATAGAGATTTTTTAAGCATGGAAGCAATAATGGAATTGTTCTGTGTAAAAGAGTAAGGAACATAGTGAACTGGCAAGTCTTCCCATCTTTGATAGCAAACCAGGATGAATGATAAGAAACATTAATCAAGAAGAAAATATGGAAAAAATGTAGCACAGTGACAGCCAGAGAAACTTTTAAAAGGTGTGCGCCAGAAAGGCAGACAGCATGCTTCTTCCATTTCTTATCTTTTCTTTAAGTTTAGTAGGTGAAGAGGTTTTTGCATTTATCTCTGCAGCCGAATGAGTTCAATTTCACTCAGATTAGAGCGGAAATTTCTGAACAGCAGGTTAATCCTTCCTGGCTTCATGGGCAACTGAGCAAACAGACTCATATCAGCGTGGCCAAGTGTAAAACTGTAATTCCAGAGATTAATGTTGTCTTTCTTGTTTGCTTTGAACTTGACCTCCATGTCTCTTTTATTTGATTTTTTGTTTTGTTTTTTGTTTTTGTTTTGTTTTGTTAACAGCTTCTGTCCAGGGCCCCTGGGAGAGGGCAATTTCTCCAAACAAAGTGCCCTACTACATCAAGTAAGTATTAAACTGTTATTATTAACTACTAAGTGCTGTCATTCTTAGCTAGTTATCATTTTTTCCCATGAATAATTCCAGACTCCTACTGGTTCAATCATACTGGTTCAAACTGAATATTTCAAACCTGCTCCAGTATCCACCATGTGTGAGTGTGAGTGAGAGAGAGAGAGAATTGTGTATATGTCAACTCTGTAGATTTAGAACTCAGTGAGAAAGTTAGACTTGATGAGTAATCAGATTAATGTGAATTGGTCTTTTGTTTGACTAGATATGTGTGTTCAACCACCATTGCTTTTAACATGGCGTATTACCTTGCTGACTGACAGTAAAAAAACCAAACATTAAAAGTCATTGTTCCCCAAATCCATCCCAGCTGGAATCCTTGAAAGAGTCTTGCTGACTAGGAAGCAGTTTTTCAGTGAGATCAAAGTATAACCTTCCCCCTCCAAAAATTGCTATGTGTGTCTGTGAGGGAAAGGTTTTGGTTTGGTTTTCTCTAGGGACAAAACACATGGCTTGGTAATGGGGAATTTTTCACTCTGCCCTTATTATGGATTGATCGTTATCTTTTGAGGTACACTTGGAACTTCAGCCACAATGTGGTGTCAGCTAGGATAGTGTTTCTAAGAGGCTGATGGATTCAGATAGTTTTCTGATGTCTCTTGGAGATTTTCTGGTCAGCAAAGCTGATGCTCCTGTCACAGCACTGGTCAATCTGTGGAATGCAGAGATGAACTAGGCTGTGGACACAATTGATCCAGAACATCCTCTTTCCCCTTGCAGGGCCTGGAATGCCCATTGGTTTACTGAGGAGCTTGAATCAATGAAGTGGTTGGGCAGATGGTCAAAATGGTTGAAGAACATTCAGAGTTAATGCGACAGCAACACAGCTGAGAGCATACTCTATGTGGCAGTGATGGGAGCAAACCAAGTGCACTTCTCTGCCACTATTGTCTCTCAGTAAGAAGGGGGGTTATTTTATAACCATATGCAAAACAAGACAGTAGCAGTTGGAGTTCTGGAAAATACAGAACAGCAGATTTTTTTACAAAGTTTCTTGCTAGCTAAAAAGTTACAAGCTCTCCATAACTCCCTTTTTTGGTGGGGTGGGCCAAGTAGTTCAGGCACCAAGAACAAGTAGGGCCCTCATGTCTTTCATGCTGATTGTTCAACCCACAGACCTCAGGGTGCAGTATTTTCCAGACTATGTTTCTGCTGACTGTCTGAATGAAGGGCAATTTCTTCATATAGGAATCAAAAAGCCCTGCTCTCTTTTAAAATGAAGGAATGAGACGAAAGCAAATGCTGGACACGAAGCGTCTGGTTCAAACAGAGATCTTCCTCTTGGGAGAGCTGATCCCTTCAGGAAGGAAGCCTCCTTCCTTGAGTTAGATTCCCATATTTATTGAGGGTAGAGTCATAAATTCCTAGAGTTTATACATTACTAGGATTGTCCACAAACAGCTGCACTTTCGGACTACCTCAGTATTTTTCCACTACAGTACCTGGCTGAACAATGACCTTTGGCCCCAGGTGTGCCCGAGGTCTGATGAGTGTGCTCTTCAAGTTTTATTGGTCACGTAGGCATGTGGTGAAATCTGTGGAATTTTCCCTACATCAAAGTTCTCCCCAAAAGAAATCTGGCCCAGGTTCATGTGTGAGACTTTTGGGGATATCTTCAAAGCTTGTGAGTTGTGCACAGGAAGGATGGAAGAAGTGACAGACCAGATAAATATATCCTTTGATCCTCAATTAACTGAAGCATTGGTAGTCCACTGTGACATCAGGCTAAATGTTAGATTTTGGAGGTAAGAAAGGAAAGGGAGTTACCTTTCCAATATGCCAACAAAAGAAATACCCAAGTACAAAGGGAGACACAGTGGAAGTGAAGAAATATTAAATAAATCCAACTGACAAAGTAAAAATTAAGCATGTAATGAAAATCACAGTCCAAACAATAGCTCAATATTCATACAATGCATTAACACAAAAACTAGGGTTGCCATCCCCCCATAGGGGCAAGGTTTCCCCTGATTTCAGGCCCTCAAATCCACTATCAGCCAGCTGGCCAGCGGGGGAGCCCTGCCCTCGAAGAGGCCTGCCATTCCTGATGTGCCCAGTGCAATGATGTCACCCAGAAGTGACATCATCGCACCAGGCATGTTGCAGGGAGACACTCTAGTGTTTGGCTAAAAACTCTATGGTAACGGGGTTCTTGGCCAAATGCTAGAGCATTCCTCCCCACAACATGACTAGCACGATGACATTACTTCCAGGTGACATCATCACAGCACGCATGCAAAGCACACAAGCAAGAACATCCAGGAGAGTGGGCTGGAGTCCCCTGCCAGTAAAACTTAGGGACCTGACAACCCTAATTAAAATATACACCAAAGAACATAGGCACAATGGCATCAATGAACCTCTGCAGTAAGACCATACATAGAAGGACTGGAACAACAATGGAATAGAATGATATCTACTAGCAAGTCTTTTTTATATATAATCTTTCTCAGATCCATAGCATGTTCTTCTCTTTTTTTCCTGTCAACTTGTTATTACCAACTCATGTGCTGAAAAACTCTTACAAAGACACAATGTGACTGAGTATTCCACACTTGCTTTCGAGAAATTCAAGGTTTGAGTTCAGGAGATAAGCTCTAAACATACCTATGTGACTTGCCCATCTTGGGAGAATGGAAGAATTTTTGTATGTTTGTTTTGGTTGGGGGGGGGGTTGTTCGTTTTTGGATCAGGTAAAAACACATAATCATACATGTTCTTTTTGCCCCAAGAACAGTGTTCATACATAACAGCATCAATGCAGCATTAATTGCTTGTTTTTTTACCACTTCCTAGCTGATCCAGACTTAATTAGAACATACAAGGTAACCTCTGCAGATGAAAAAAAATTCAAATAAATGTGGTGCTTGAATTGACTGTAAAACTGCCTGCTTGAACATGATCTACAGCAGGGGTGTCAAATCCATTTGTTATAAGTGCTGGATCTGACATAAATGAGACCTTGTCAGGCTGGGCCATGTGTGTCATAAATTGTAATGTCAGGTAGCAGATATATAATTTTATAAAGAACACAAACAAACACAATTAAAGATTGTTTTTACTTAAAATAAAAACATGCTGGGGGGTGGGCGGAGCTACCGGTGCATGGCGCACGGCTGAATCCTGAGCTCCCGTCCCTTTCTCCCTAATTCCTACTTATAATAGTTTTTCAACGTCTCCATGCCGAAGAAAAATACAAATAAAGCTGCCGGAACACCATCTGCGACTCAGAGAGGTGGAACAAAATCGGTACGTACGTTTTTTACAACGATAGCTCCAGAAGAGCTTTTTCTCACGGCCTCCCCGGACTCTGACAAAATGGCGCCCGATACGCTGCCCAACGGCCCGGCCGACCCCCTATCTCGAAATGACCTAGCTGCATTAAAAGACGACATTATTGACTCTATGTCCACCATAGTCTCTAAATTACTCCAACCCATACAAAATTCCCTGCAAGATATGGCGAAAGAAGTTACTGAAGCTTCGAAAGCTGCAGAAACAGCCAAGCAAATGGCGACGGCTATGCAGGATGATATTCGATCCCTGCAAAATTCTGATATGACTATGCAAAATAGAATTACTTCGCTTGAGAATAAGTGGCGACAGTACAATTTGAAATTTAGGGGGTTCGAGGAGGGGTCTGAAGAGTCTCAAAATATAGCCCATTTTATGGCTACTTGGCTAGCTAAAGTAATGCAACTCGATGATGGCGTCGCACCAGCAATAGCCAAGGCTCAACGCCTAGGACCGTTAGCGATGGCGCGCAAAGACAAACCAAGAGACATTTTAGTTCAGTTTATTTACCTACGATCCAGAGATAAAATCCTCAAACTAGCAAAGCAAAAAGGATCTCTGGCTTATGGTGAACAAAAGATCATTGTATTGCTTGACCTAGCCCCGGAAATCCTGCTCAAACGGAGATCCCTTAAGAATATCACAGCCAGACTCCACGAAGCGAAGATTCGGTTCCGCTGGTCCCCAACTTCGGACATTTTGATCTACAAAAACGGCTTACTGCACCAAGCAACCGATTGTGCATCAGGAATACAATTACTTTCTGCAGTAGGGATCAAGCTATCTCCAGCGGAAGAAGAAGAACTGTTAAAAACCTGACTTTTTCCTTCATGCTTCTCTCAAGGAAGATGGAAGCCTTTATGCAACTTTTAAAAATGTTTGTTTAAAAAGCTTAAAAATAGCTATAAGGATAATGATTCAGCAATGAGGTAATTGCAACAAAAATAATTTAATTGTTTTTGAGTTAAAT